CAATATATATTTTTGAAAGCATTCTTACTTTATAGCATTTTTTTTCATACCTGCCTAAAACTTTTGCACAGTACTGTACATTAATATTTCACAATAGTTAACATTTCTAAATGTTTTGAGACATGCAAATATGTCAAGTTTAAATGGTAATATACTTTCAATATTCTACCAGAAAAGATTAGCAATTCAATGAGTAGCAGTACTAATAAAAACAGCTGCAATGATAAATAATTGTGTAGCTATTTTGTTCTGATCATTTCAGCAGCTAACTAGTTTTCATTGATGATGTGTATAAGTAATTCTTTACTGAAAAAGGAAAGATGACTCTTTCTACAATGTGCTCCTCTGCTCTTTTAGCTAATTAATATTTAGATTTGACTTGTTCTTAAACAATTGCTAATTTTAGATTAGTTTAGGTTTTAATTTTGCAGTTAATCTGCTGTTTAAAATTATCAGTGTTATACATCCAGATATTACCTTTCTATTACATCAGAAAATGTGGATAATACAATCAGCAAACTAAGAATGTAGTTATTTCAGCCAAAGTTATTACGTAGGTGTACAATATGCAGAGAAAACAACATTCAATAATATGTTACAATATTTTAAATTGTGTATGCATATACCACATTAAAACTTAACAAGTATTTACTTCAACTATTTCTATTAGACTGTAAAAGAGTATTTGATAAGATGAAAAAACAAATGAGCTCTCATTTATTCATAATATAATGAATTTGCAATGTAAAGTAGCATTTTCAACACACAGATTTAAGTTTGAACTAACTATAAGTGAAAATCACATCTACATTTAAAATATATGATGTGTAAACCTGGGCCTGCCTCAAGGACCAAATACTATATCTCAAAATAAGGATATATTTGATGATAAACCACCCCAATAGGAAAGTTATGGTCTGTAATCATGCAAACAATGTAAGGCGCGACCAATTTAAGAGTTCCAGGAAGAAGAATTATATTTCAAGAAAATGGCTAGATTTGATACTTAACAGATGAGTTACATATTGCGGATTCTTATAATCTTAATTTTTATGATTCTTCATATATTTATGCTTTGCAATACAAAAGGATCTTTCTGCCAAGAATATTTCTAGGGGAATTACCATGGTGACATTATGGAGTAAGATATTTTGAGGAGCAAAGGGTACATGGGGGGGGGGGAGACACTGATTTTGAAAAAGATCAACATAACAAATTACAAAAACTTCTAAATAATGGTGGTAGGATGTTTGAGAAGCCTCAAATGTAACTACAGTTCTTGAAAGCTCTTGGATCTGTAATGAAATAAATGAAATTCCAGCACAGTGTAAGGAAAACTTTTTGACAAACCCAATAGTAAATTCAAGGATGAAAATATTTTTTGATATTCCAAGAGCCATTAAATTAAGAAACCCTATTAGTTTCTCTTTAAATGCTCTAAGATATCCTATGAATAAAGCTTCCCAAGCTGACTTTATAAAAAACTTCATTTTCCTGCAAAACACACTACCCACAGCTGTGAATTTTGCAGTAACAAAAAAGGTCTTTACAACAGAAAGCACACAACTCAGAAAAGGGTTTCTTTGTTTGAGCTCTAAATCATTGCCAGTCTGATGTAAGTATTAATGGACTGCCTATTTTGTTCCATGCTGAAATAAGCCTTTTGCTCAGAGATAACTTGTAACCACATTTAACAATCTTTGCATATCTACACCACCCACTTTCAACACCAAAAAATTTGGCACACAAACTAGGTGTTATCCCTTATTGGTGCCAGACTAATTAGGATCCTCCTCTCAGGGCAAACACTGCCTCAAAAATGAAGCCCTCTAGTAAGAAAATAATAAAATACAAATCTTGAGCAATACTAACCCAATAGGCAAAAATGTTGTCTGTACATGTAAATATGGGCATTCAACACAATATCCACTCTTTATTATGTAGCAGGCAACAGCTAATTTATGAATGAAAAATCTTAACTTCTTGCATGGAAATACAGACTGAAGTACAGTATACCAAGGAAATCAATCTGGTCTCTACCACCTGCTGTAAAATCAAGACATTAATTATGAAATACTGTAAATCCTTGATTAGTGTAATAGATTACTAGATGCATGCCTAGAAAAACATAGGTATGTAGTTCATCTAGGACTGCAACCATTAACATGGCAGAAGAACCTCAAGCCAAAAGATTAGTGATAATGCTTACCTTTCTTTTCCAGTCAAAACCCCAGATAACTTTTTAAACATTAAAATGAAGTCATTTATAAACTGAAGAAACAAACTGAAGCTCAATCTAAGCAAGACTTGTAAAGCAACTACATTTCATATGATACAAAATGGTTTTTGATTTTTTAAGTAGTTGGGATTGTTGTAAGAATTCTGATGCTGGCTTTGGGTAGGTATTTGTGAAATAGAAGTCCACAATAAAGGTATCCAATGTAGATGATTGTAACACTGTGTGATTTGTTTCTGAAGCTTTTAGTGAACATTATCTGGGTCTTTTTATATTGTGAGACCTGCATAAACACTGGAATGACATCTTCACCTTGTTCACCACACAACATTTTTAAAGTCAGTCAGTGTTGGGTATTCTATGATCACTCTAGCTTTCCAATGTGGGCAAGACTTCTTTCTAAAAATGCCAAGGCTTTTTTTAAAATCCTGTGATCAAGTTAGCTATTATTCTCCCAAAGCCGTCATATATTACCTGACAATATCAAGTTCTATAGCTAATGGTGTTTAAACACTGTGTTTTGTTTTTTGGCAGAAAAGACAGATAAAATACTTACTAATATTTACCATGACTTTTCTAAAAACACAATATAAGAAACCCAAAAGTAATCAGGCACGTACCTCTTAAATAAAAGGGGCGGGGACACAGATGAAAATAATGAGCTTCATAAAGTATATTTCCATCAAATAACTTAAACATGAATTTCAGAGATATCAAACTTGAATAATATTAGCTGGTACCGTGTTGTTTAAATACAACACAGTGAAATAAGTCAACTCTCAATGACCCCAACTTCAACCCAAAAAAAAAAAAAAGCTGTTAATTTTCGGGGAGATATCCAGACTGCAAGAATTTTTACCCTCCTGCCTTAAAGCAGCCTACAAAGATTGCTGAATGGATAGAACTGCCAACTAAAGAAGCAATGAAAGATTCTATCCAGAAAGGATGAGCATCAAACAGTCTTAGAACTCCACCCAATATGCCTAGTTGACTTAAGGCAAAGACAACTAAAACCAATTTGTATAACTAAGGGAGCTTCTTCCTAGGGAGCAAGAAGGAAGTTCATTTGTTCAATCTCCTCGACAAGAGTTAATCCTTTTCTGACAGCTCTGGCTGTGCTGAATCTTGTACCAAGCTTCAAATATTCAGCATTAGCTGACAGCTTGTGCCCCAAATGTACAATTCAAATCTGCTTCTAGGGCAAGGTACAGGATGACAAAAGAATATAGCAAGGTTCTACATAGGAGCAAGTGTGACACTGAAGATTAATATTTACTGATGAATACATCAAGTGCAAAGTTTAAACACATAAGGAAACAATTTTCCAATTTTAGCTGGAGCACAGTAAGAGGCTATAAGCTAATTACCTCCTTTGGCAGCTGGAGTATGAAGTAGTTGTTTGGTTTTGAAGGCAACACGGTGCAAATTTTTCTGCTTTTGCAGAGCTGTTGAAACAAAGACATGTTATGTCTGTCTAAAGAGAGGAGATAAGAACTTTGAACTACATTCAAATTTCACTTAAGATTCTAAGATTGTAATTTTCATATAAAACATCAGAAAACAAACAAAAAAATGGCAGAATAGCTTTCAAAAGCTGTTATGGCTCCAGTAATAGCAGCAGCAGCAGCAGCAGCAGCAGCA